CCAAGGCCACATGTCCTAGGGTTTGCAATCATATTTATTGCAAACTTGGACTTGTGGACCTTTCACGCCCTTGATCAACTTCTCTAATATGTGGACATAACACTCTTTTCCCCTTAGTATAGTTTTGTCCCATGAGTTTTTCTATACTAAGAGGGTGATTGGTGATGACTTTTAAGGTTTTAAAATGGTTTAAAGTCTTAACAGTAATTAATTTGCCAATAAATATTTTTTGCTTTTTTTTTTTAAAGCATTAAAGTCACTTCTTTTTTTTCCTTCTTTGTTTTCTCATTTTTCTCAAAGCGTAAAAAACCTGGCTTTAAATTTAATCAATTAAAAAGATTTATTTTTCATATCCCATTACATTTAAAACCTTTTCACAAGTTTATAAATATATTTTATATATTTTATTTTTATAAATTAATTACTCTCATTTTTTTCTTGTTCTTTTAAGATCCATTTCAATAATACTTTTATTTTATAAATTCATTTATAATATAATTATATTTATTATAAATATAAAATAATAATAATAATAATAACATGCATAACTTTAAAGTTTGTTCATTACCAATCAGATTTTAACAGTAAAAGTTTCTACAGCCAAAGCATCTACAGCCAAATTCTTTGCAGCCAAAATTTTAAAGTTAAAGTCTCTACAGCCACAAGTAATAGTCGTTACCAATCGACCTCTAAGTTTTTTAATGAGGTGATGCTTCATGGGTTCCAAGCTTAGCCATTTCATTAAGCTAAGCTTGAGGGGGAGTATTGATCAAGATCTTATTGAGTATATCAAGATAGAATAGACCATTATAAAGTACCTTATATTGGTCTATTCTATCATGTTGGTCTATAAAGTACCTTATAAAGTACCTTATCAAGTACCTTATAAAGGTCTATTCTATACATACGGGGGATGTTCAAATAGATTAACATTATATATATTGTTAGCTTCCCTTGTAAGCTTATCTCTTATCCCACTTATTTATATGTGTGGTTGTAAACCTAATGAAGTAAGAAGAGTAATTCTCTCTCTTTTCTATTCTTGGTTACTATTCATCTTCTCTTCCAATCTCTTTTTATTCTTGTTACTCAAATCTAGCATCTCTCTCTTGTTATTCCGCTTAATCTAACAAGTTATTAGTTTGATTTTTATATATATTAAAGCATATTTTTTCATTTGAAAATCTGTCATTAATTTTGTTTGGCTATAGGTTTAGGATTATATTTTATTTCAATTTTTCTATTTAATCTGTTTTTATATATCTTTTAAAAATGCTTCCCTTTTAATACTATAGATGAAATGATACTTTTTGACTACTAGTATTTGATATGCTTATTGGAATTTAATGTTAAACTTTATAAGATGATGATACTTTTTTCGTTTTTTTCTGTATTGCGTATATATGAATTATGGTCATTTATTACTTTCAGAAAACTACTAGTATAGTTGTTTTACTCATTCTTTTTTATAAAAAAACATTAAAAATAGTTATGTCATAGTTTCGGTAAGAAATAGATTATGTTATACTTAGCAGAAAACTATTTTTAACTCTTATACGTGCAAATTGCTACTGAAATTGCAGTCGGTAACGTTACCGACTAAGTTACTACTGTATAACGACCATTTCATATTAGTAGCACATCAGTCGGTATTTAGTGACTAAGTACGACAGTCGTCACATCGTAGCAAAAGTACGACGGATGTGTGACAAAGCGGTGGTCGGAAAAAAGTAGTCGTTAATAAGTAGTAAATTTAGCGACTAATGAACGACTAAATTCGGTGGGTCGTAAAACTATAACTGTTTGCGACTAATTTGCGACTGACGTCGGTGGGTCGTCCCACAATAGCAAAACAGTAGCGAAAGTTGGTTAGAAAACGTGGAAATCATTTGGCGGTAAGTGTACCTAATTACTAATGTAGTAGCAAAACAGTAGCTAATCAGTCGATATATATAAGACACACGAGTTTTCTTGGTACAATTGTAAAAGGTCAAAGTAATGCAAAACGTTTATAAAACACTTTACAAAGAGATCGAGGAGAACATTTCTTGAGGCATATAATGTCGAGAAATTACAGTTATGGTAATTATCGAGAGCGGATGTACAAACGGTTTGATGAAGCGACAGGAGCACTCTCAGAATAGTTTATATCAGGGGTAGAACAATTTGTGGCATTTGCCAATAGTCAGCCTTTAGCGCAGAGCAATCGTGGTATGTTTCACTGTCCGTGTCTTATTTGCGAGAGTGAAAAAATTATCCTGGGTAAAAGAGTTTTGAGACATCTCTATAGTAGAGGATTTATGCCAGATTATTATATCTGGTACAAACATGATGAAGAACTCGATATGGATTTAGGATCGAGTATTGTTGATAGAACTCATATTAGTGAGAGTGATGAAGGGAGTTATAATGTAGTCGAAGATAGATATTTGGATATGGTGAATCATGCTTTTCGTGATAACGTGAATTTTGATAATTATTCGGATGGTAATTATCAAAATGTAGAAGAACCAATACGTAATCATTCAGAAAAATTCTACAACTTGTTAGATGGAGCCAATACTCCATTATACGATGGTTATCGTGAAGGTCACTCTCAGTTATCATTAGCTGCTCGAATTATGCAAAATAAGACCGAATATAATATGAGTGAGAAGCTAGTGGATTCGGTATGCGGAATCTTGACAGATTATTTAGCAGAAGGAAAATTTGATGCGCAATTTGGGGCTTCCATGTCATGCAATTGATGTTTGCATTAACAGTTGTATGATCTCTGGAAAGAAGATGAACAGTTTGATAAGTGAATGTGGTATATGCCTATTGCTGATAGATTGAAGAGAATGTATCAGAGCGAGAAGACTGCAGCGGTAATGAGATGGCATGCTGAGCACGAAGCAAATGAGGGAGAAATGTGTAATCCGTTAGATGCGGCAGAGTGGAAAAATTTTCAAGCCAAACATCCCCGATTTGCCGAAGAACCCTGTAACGTTTATCTTAGATTGTGTACAGATGAGTTTAATCCATTTTGCATGTCAAAAAATCATTTGTTGTGGCCTATGATATAGACTCCGTACAATTTACCCCTGGTATGTGCATGAATACAGAGTACTTGTTTCTAACCATTATGAATTCATGGTCAAATCATCCGCGAGCTAGTCTCGATATCTTCCTGCGACCTCTCATTGATGAGTTAAAGAGTTGTGGTCAACTGGAGTTTATGCGTACGATGTCTCCCTCAATCAAAATTTTAAACTAAGAGAAGTGTTGCTATGGACGATAAGCGACTTTCCAGCGTATGGAGTGTTATCTGGATGGAACACCCATGGTAGATTGTCTTTTCCAATTTGCATGGCAGATACACAGTTTTTTTATCTGAAGAACAGAAGAAAAACGTGTTGGTTCGATTGTCACCGAAGATTTCTCCCGCATGATCATCCTTTACGTAAGAATAAAAAAGACTTTTTAAAGAGGAGAGATGCTAGGGAAGACTACCCACCAGAGTATTTGACCGGTGAGCAAATTTATTCATACCAGTTGAAACGTGTAAATTCACCATAAAACAAAGGATGTTGGTTGTTGTGGTCACGATAAGAAGAAGCATGGCTATGGAAAAGACCATAATTGGCATAAAGAAAGCATTTTCTGGGAATTGCCGTATTGGAGGGACCTCACTCTTCAATATAATCTCGATTTGATGCATATAGAGAAGAATTGTTTGGACAATGTCATGAATACTCTTATGCGTGTGAAGGGTAAATCAAAAGACACCATTTCATCAAGATTGGATATAGAGGAATTATGTTCTCGACCACGTTGACATATTGATGCTGAAGGTAGAGCCCCTTTTCCTGCCTACTCATTGGAAAATGAAGCAAGAAGAAGCTTATTGGAGTGTGTGAAACATTCGGTAAAATTCCTAGATGGTTATGCTGCAGACTTAGCTAGTTGTGCTGATATGGCAAATGGAAAGTTTTCAGGGATGAAGAGTCATGATTATTTTGCTTGAATTAAGATGTGAGTTTAGCTATGAGTTTAGTCATCGTATACTCTCCCTTACTGAAATGTATGTTGATGTAGACAATGAGCTTGAAGCTAATGGTAGATAGGTTTCGTTTGTATCACTTGATACACTTACATGTAAAGGTGAAGAGAACATTTTGTCACTACACAACTACTCTTTCACTTTGTGACTGTTTCTCTACTTTGATTCCTTGGCTTTGTACTATGCTGATCTCTGGTTTTAATATTGGTTACTTTGTTTGTAGCTTAGAACTCAGCTTTGATTTCTTTTCACATGCTTTTCTATGACAACAGTTGAACCCTTCTATTTCAATTATGAAAATTCTTATTCTTTTGTTGATTTTGCAATGGTTTGTGTCGGTTTTGTGGCACTGGTCCGTGAGTTTTTTGAGTTTAGCTATTAGTTTATCTATGAGTTTAGTTAATGTGTAAGCATCCATGAGAGCTCCCTCTTTTCTAGTCTTATTGTGTTATTAACTTGTGACCTTTTAAGCTGTTTTGGTAATTCTCATTCAACATTATCTTTATCTGTCTTTGTAGGTTTGGTTTTGACAAATCTTCACTCTCCCGCCAGATTACTAAGTGCTTCACCAACAAGTTTGATGGCCCATACTATAGTTGGTTCTGTGTGCCTAGAGGAAGACAAGAACGATACTTCGTTGAATTCGCGGTAAGAATCTCTTTGTTCTAACACCAAATTTCATTTTCTTCTTATATTTTCTTTAAAATGACTAGCACTTATATTTCTCTGTTATTTTGTAGAAAAAACATAGATGGGATCCATGTAATACAGGTTTGATTCAAGAGCAGTTCGTGTCCATAATCCAAAATCGCATGAAAGATAGGTAAGCACTGCGAGGAGTAGTGACGTACGACCAATCTGGATCTATGATACTGTCAAGGATGAGATGAAAGAACATTGGAGTACTGAAGAACAAAAAGCAAAGAGTGCTACGACCTCAACAGCTCGGATGTCTGATTGTAAAGGTCTCGGTCCGCACAAACACGCCTCTGGACAGAAGTCTTACCGACAAATTGAACAAGAAATGGTAAGTCTCTTTAAACGTTATTACTGGTTCAATATGTGATTTGTGGTTTCATGTTATAAATGCTTTACATTTACACTCACTTTGTTTGCTGAAATACTGATTCAACTAATCATTTTCCCATTTCAGGTTGTTGAACTGGGGAGACCAGTGAGTTTCGGTGAGGTGTTCATCAAGGCTAATACCAAGAAAGATGGGACGTTTGTTGATCTGAAAGCAAAGCAAGTTGCTAAGGCCTATACGAAGAAAAAACAAGAGAAGTTGACTGATCTTGAGTCTAATATCACAGACCTTTCGGATGGTCGTATTCCTGTGCTAATAGTAGAATAAGATAACGACCTCTTTATTCAGGTAGCTTCGTTTACATTATGCTTCATTTACATTATAGTTTACATTATGCTTCTTAGTTTGGCATTCATACTCTTGCTTGTTTCTGATTTTTCATTGCTTTGAATTTTCTTTCAGTCCACATTCACAAATGATAGAGGAGCACTGTTTGGTATTGGAAGCCTCAAGAGTATGCTCAAGGGAAAGGCACACAACACATCATCATTCTGGCAGATGCAACAACAGCTTGAGAATGCTGAACAGAAAGTGAAGGACCAAGCTGCTCTTATCGCACAGCAAGAAGCAGAGAATGCTCAAGTTGCAGCTGCTCAAAAGGCCCAGACCGCCGAGCTTGCGATTGTCCACAAGTTCTTGAAAACCGACGACAGATTCCTTGCTTCCCTTGCCAAAAAAACTGCTTCTGATAATCCTCCTACTGAACCTCTTTAGCTTTATAACTCTCTTGCTTTTATAAAACTTTAAACTTATGTTGTGTTTAAACTCATGTTTGTATGCACTTGAATTTTTATTTTGATGTGTTCTTCGGATTTTAAGATTTCTATAATTTATTTTTTTAGTACTTTTCTTTATACTAAAATTAGGAACCAAATTAGAATGCTAAACGAAATTCCGTTAATTAAAAACCAAGTAGTAGGTATTCAGTGGCAACATTTTCATCGTAAATAAGTAGCTAATATTACGACTACATACCGACGACACATTTAGTAGCAAACTACAGTCGCTATTATGTCGCTCGACAGTCGCCAAAACTTACGACTTCGGTACGACTACATATTTAGTAGCAAAATACAGTTGCTACACAGTCGTTATGTAGTCGCTAAATCTTACGACTGAGTGCCGACTGGTCAACGACAGATAGAAAACTATTGTAGATCAGTCGTAACTCAGTAGCTATTTTGCGACTGATATTTTTTGCGACTAGACCTTTACCTTCATCACATAGTGGTCGGTAATCAGTCGTAAAACTATGTTTACGACTGTTTGCCTACTGGTTTTGCAGTAGCTAAAAACTCGTTTTGGTGTAGTGGTATACTCTAAACGATGTTAAAGACTTCAAACAAATTGTTGTCATCTTCTTGTTGAGATTACTCGCTTGAAGAACAAGTGACATTAGATAAACTCTAAACATGTCAGATTCGGCACGTCTAAACACATGCTACTCCTCTTCAAGGGAAGAAATGCTGAAGAACCCTTAGAGAAGCCACCAAATTGCCCCAGAAAACCTTGACACCCATAAACATAAGCACTCTCTTTGACATGATTTTCTTTGTCAACAAACTTGCTGTTCTTCAACACAAAACGAAGAATACTCCATCTGATTTTCAGAAACATAATGCAGATGGTTGACCACTGTCGAATGATTCCCAAGAAACATGTTCTCAGACCCTCTATTTCTCTTTTGGACTCCAAAACCGTTTTCAACATTTGAAAGAGAACCACATAATGGGCTTTCATTGGCCGAGGAAAAAAACAAAACTTCAACAAAAATAGGCCAAAAGAAATATAATGTGGCCCACATAATTTTTCAGCCTTCTCCACAAAAAAAAAATATTCACTTAAAAGAACACACTATTGACTTTTGTTCCATGTGCTTTTCTTTGTTGCGAGGCCAGCTGGACCTTTTCTTCTGATATGAGACAAATAACATGTTTCCCCTTTGCTTCAACCTTTTTGGATCTAGAGACTAAACTGACTCTTTCTTATTCAACCTTCAGAAACTCAGATCTTCAGAAACCCAGATCTTGAAAAACCCAGATCTTCAAAAACCAAGAAATTCAGAAACCTAGAACTTCAAAAACCCAGATCTTCCGAAAACCCAGATCAGAGAACCATATCTGCTCAAGATAAAAGAACCACTGTCACTTAACAAGCATTCAATGATAGATATATAAGATGTCCACCACACTTGTAACAACTTCCATATTTCAATTAGAAGCTTCAACCAAAAACAAACTTCTATAATTGATAATCAAGATCAGGGACAAACAACTATCAATAGAACACCCACAACTTCTCTCCATCTTCTTAATATCTCTATAGCCTTAAATTTTTCTATAGACGTTTCTGAGAAATCTAGTAAACTGAACTGAAAATTCCTTCGAGTTTGAGAGCAAATATGTCCTCATAATCTTCTTTCCTTTCTCTTCTAGCAACACATGCAGGATCTAACATGTTAGAGACTACAGACTCAGGTCGGTTTCCTGCTCTGATACCAATTGAAATAACGTGATGCGTGCTAGATCTAGACGTGTATGATAGATATGTATGTGTGATGCTTAACAGAGATATGAGAGCATATAGCAGAGACGACACAAGAAATTTGTTAACGGGGTTCGGATAACCTACATCCACGGGACGAAGTTCAGAACGATTTACTAGCTTAAGAACGCAAAAGTCACATTTGCCAAGGGTATGTAGCACACACTTGTGCCTACCACACTTAACTACATAAATCAAGGCAATCACCACTCATTATTTTTTCAAGTGTGATTCCTTTACAAAACCATCATCATTTTTCTCTTTTGTTTATGGGGCAACACCACACACAAAGTGTGCATATAAAAAGAAACCCTAGGTGTGCAACCTTTTCTTGTGACCACCTCTTCCTTTTTATAATCCTTAGAGCATCATTATAGGTAGCATGCTAATTAGGGTATCTAAACATAGATTTAGTATTGAATTTGAAAAAGTAGAGTTTAAGAGTTGTAATTTTGTTTTTAGTTTTGTGATGTGATTATAGGTAGGATCTTAAGTTGGGTATCTTAGAATTTTTTTTTTAATTAAATAATTTTATAATTTGTAATTAAAGAAAATCTTATAATTATTGCAAATTTAGAATTTGAAAACATACATAAGATAGAAATTATAATATAAAAGTACAATAATTTTAAACTTGATTGCGAGAAAATTTTCACCAAATATTCTCGACCAAATCGTTCTTTTATTGTTCATACAGAGTTTGATCCCGAAGTCGAGTTCTAGCGGTCATCATATCGACGAGATTTGAAGGCTTATTTGTTTCATACGAGAAATCCACTCTTGTACTTCCGATATTTTCCGCTTGTTGGATTTTGGTGACATCAAATTGAGTATACATATCTCATTCATCTTCTACTATCATCTTGTGAAGTTATATGCATGCCCGCATAATTTTTCCTATTCTTTCCTTATCCCAAATAAGAGTCGGATTTTTGACAATGGCAAATCGAGCTTGCAAAACTCCAAAAGCACGCACAACATCTTTACGGCAAGCTTCTTGTTGGGTTGCAAATAAAGAAGAGATCGATTGGATAAATGTAGCCCATTTTGGATAAATTCCATCTGTCAGATAGTAACCCAAACTATACTGGTTTCCGTTGACAACATACTTGTATTTTGGTGCTCGTTCTTTAAAGATGTCATTGAAAACCGGAAAGCGATCAAGAATATTGATATCATTTAAAGTACATGGAAGTCCAAAAAACGCGTGCCATATCCAAAGATCTTGTGAAGCTACAGCCTCTAAAACGATCGTTGGTTTTCCCGAGGCCCGTGTATATTGACATTTCCAAGCGGTTGGGCAATTCTTACACTCCCAATGCATACAATCGATGCTACCCATCATCCCGGGAAATCCTCTTATCTCTCCAATAATGAATAGCTTTTGAAGATCTTCAGCGGTTGGTTTTCTTAGGTACTCATCTCCAAAGAAAAGTATGATACTGTCAACAAAATGTTGCATGCATTTCATGGAAGTGGTTTCACCAATCCGGAGATATTTGTCAACCACATCAGCCGCACAACCATACTCAAGCATGCGAATTGCTCCTGTACACTTATGTAGTGGAGACAATCCTAACCTTCCGGCCGCAACTCTTCTTTGTGGAAAGAAAGGAATTTCATTGATAAGTTGATCCACGATATGCATGAATAAATGCTTATTGATTCTAAAACGACATCGGAATAAATTAGGTGGGAAGGTTGCATTTTCTCCAAAATAATCGTTCTATAACCTGATGTGTCCTTCTTCACGATGTCTTTTAATATGGACTCTTTTTCGGTTTTCTGGGTTGTTGATGCTCCTCCAAAGAGTTCAAAGAATTACCAAATTCTTCTTGGAAAATATTATCAAATTCTTCATCCAATAGTTGTGAAAATTCATCATGAGATGATGATGCCATTTTGTATATAGCAAAAAAACAATTATTTTGTGGTTAGGTAAAATTTTTGAGATTGAGGTTTAATAGTTAAATAAGAAAGTATATAAGAAATTTGTGGGATAAGAAAGTGATATTATTGTTTCGGTTGTGATAATACGAAAGTGAAGAAATTATTCTTGTGGGATAAGAAACTGATATTATTGATTCGGTTGTTGTGAAAAATAAGATTGTGTTGAAGAGAGAGTGAATACAAGTGTATTGACGAGAGAGTGAATACAATTGTGGAAAGAGAGAATTGAATACAATTGTGAAAGAGAAAGTGAATACAATTGTGAAAGAGAAAGTGAATACAATTGTGAAAAACACTTGATACATATTTATAGCGATGAATACAATTGTAGTGTTGTGTCCGTGAACCCATCAGTGATGAAAGTGTGCGATGCCATATCCGTGAAGAGACAGTGAACTTGTATGTTAACCACCAGCTTCATAAGTGACCCACGAGTCTCTACAACTTTTTGTTTTCTTCTTTCACTTTCCCGTGAACCTACATACCAAACAACAATAAAGTCAATAAGGCCAACTCAAATATCTTTACTTTCATAACACAATTCTTTCTCGTGAACCAAATTTTATGACATAACATCAGTGAACCAAATCCTTCACGTGAACTAAATCCTTCAACACATCATATACCACCAGCACATATAACACATAAATAAAGTGAACATTGATTATCAAACAGAGACATAACACAAACACAACAAACAACATAAACACAAACACAACAAACAATAAAAGATCAAGGGAAATAGCATTACAAAAACACAAACACAACAAACAACCATAAACTGGCTGAGATTAAAACCATAAGAGATTCAAAACAAAATCTCTCTAATTAGCTTTGTTTTAAGCCCTTCCTCTAACTGAGAAAGAGGACCAGATTTAGCTAGTAGAATGTCAAGCAATTTCTTGTTTGACAATTAATCATTTAACTCATGCTTTTGTTGCTTCAAGGCAAAGTCTTTTTCCTTTAGCTCCCACATAGTCTTCATTCTTTCCATTCTCTCCACTCCTCCTTCAGCAGTGACTGAACTTGTCTTTTTGGCACTAGCCTTGGCAGCAGCCTTGGCTACCTTCACTCCAGGTGGTCTTGCTTGAGAACCTTGAGATTTTCCTTGAGCTTAAGAGTCTCCTTGATCTCAGATTCATGCATAGAAGATGAGTCAACCTTCCTTCTTTTGTTCTTGTCGTCTCCTTTAGTAGCTAGCATAGCACATCACTTCTGATAATATCTCAATTCTCTCCATCCATGCTCGAGAATGAACTTCTTCTTGTAATCACTCTCATAGATGAGGTGAGCTCGCTTAGTCAGATCATCATCATTCATTTCACTTGCCATCTGACTTGATGCAGCTTGATGAGATCCAACAAACTTACATACACATTCATTTAACTTAGCCCATCTTTGCTTACAGTGATCTTGCTCTCTCTGCTTCAAACCAAATACAATTGGACTTGTAGCAACATATGCTGCAATCCTCTTCCAGAAGGCTGCTCCTCTTTGCTCATTGCCAACAATGGCATCTTTTCTTGTTTTGAGCCATGCAGAGATTAAAACTACATCCTCTTTGACACTCCATGCATTCCTCTTCCTTGGTGCACCCTTATCAGTGAGTTTATCACCTTCACAAGCTGGCTGAGACCATTGAGTTGTGAAGACAACTTTTTATGTTTCACCAAGTCTAATACTCGGTGATGGAGAGTCATAACTACTCGGCTGCTGAAGGCTAGGAGAATCATTTTGACTGGTTAGAAGGTCCATGAAACCAACAGAGTTGGCATATGGATTCATTTTGAGAAGAGAATGAAAAGTATACAAGTTTGTTCTTTTAGAGTGAAAGAGAATCAGGTTTGTTTATGTTTAAGTGTTTGTGATAATTTTAATCTATATAGAGTTAGGTTAACAAGTTAGTGTTATCACATAACTCTTGTACTTCCCTATCACCTAGAACTATACAACTGTAAACACAAAACAAACACTCAAATGCATTTATCATCTTGTACTATCCTATCACCTCAAGTTAATTCTCACCTAATCTTCTACTCAATTGTGAAAAAGAGTACAAGTCATCATTTACTTACAAGGAATCAAGGCTGTGAAACACCTCTGACTTATCCCATATGTACCATTTGTCTCATACAAGCCAACAACCACTCCTGCTATCAAACAGAGAACAACATAATCAAATGTCAACATTCAACCAAATTTAAAGGAACCTACTCGGAATATTAACTTACCCCATTCTATCTATGGACTCCTCTGACTTCTCTGCTGCTTTCTCAATCCTCATATAATTAATACAGCCACTACATATCCCCACACCTGTCATAAAACAGATAACAAACAATCAATAGCCAAAAGTATTCAAATAACATTTGAAACTTTACATAACTCAACTATACTAATCACATTCAATCAAAAACTTAGTCTAACATCTTCTAGAATACAATCCAATAAAAAACTCAGTCTAACTCAGTCTCACCTAAGCTTGTCTCGGAATATTACACAAACAAAAACATTTCATCTGATCACTTACCGGATTCCGGATTCAATCTATGGTCTCCTCTTCTGACAGTCTCTCAATTCCATCTCTCAGTCCTCATATGTAGCAGAACATTTTGATTCAAAGACTAGTCCCCACTCTTCGCATAAAACAGAGAGCATTCAGTCAAATTCAAAAGACAAAAACTAATATTTTACATTTGAAACCTAATCTACACCTAACATTTAACCAAACCTATTCAAACTCACGAATACTATTAAGATCCAACAGATTCATAATTAGGGTATCTTAACATAGATTTAGTATTGAATTTGAAAATGTAGAGTTTAAGAGTTGTAATTTTGTTTTTAGTTTTGTGATGTGATTATAGGTATGATATTAAGTTGGGTATCTTAGAAAAATATATTATTTTAAAAATTAAAATTTTTTATAATTTGTAATTTAAGAAATTCTTATAATTATTGCAAATTTAGAATTTGAAAACATACATAAGATAGAAATTATACAATAAAGTACAATAATTTTAAACTTGATTGCGAGAAAATTTTCTCCAAATATGCTCGACCAAATCGTTTTTCAATTGTTCATGCATAGTATGATCCCGAAGTCGAGTTCTATCGGTCATCATATTGACGAGATTTGAAGTCATATTTGCTTCATACGAGAAATCCACTCTTGTACTTCCAGAATTTCCTGCCTGTTGGAATTCGGTGACATCAACCTGATTATACATATCTCATTCATCTTCTACTATCATCTTGCGAAGTATTATGCATGCCCGCATAATTTTTTCTATTATTTCCTTATCCCAAATAAGAGCCGGATTTTTAACAATGGCAAATCGAGCTTGCAAAACTCCAAAAGCACGCTAAACATCTTTACGGCAGACTTCTTGTTGGGTTGCAAATAAAGAAGAGATCGATTGGATAAATGTAGCCCATTTTGGATAAATTCCATCTGTCAGATAGTAACCCAAACTATACTGGTTTCCGTTGACAACATACTTGTATTTTGGTGCTCGTCCTTTAAAGATGTTATTGAAAACAGGAGAGCGATCAAGAACATTAATATCATTTAAAGTACCTAGAGGTCCAAAAAATGCGTGCCATATCCAACATGATTGGTTGAGCTCTTATCAATGACTTGTTCTTATGAGCTTAAAACATGATTGGTTGAGCTCTTACATCTTGGATCTTCTGAGTAAGACTCCAACATTCAACACGTCACTTCATTCCATGTGACCTTACATTGAGATGTATTGGCTGTCTATGATTCCCTAATTCTATGTATATGAAGTTGTACCAGGCTTGTTCACTTCATCGTTCATTAATATTGTGTCTATATCTAGTTGCACAACCATCAAACTTTTCACTGTATCACTGCTTCACTACATCTGTATTTGGTTCATAAATTTTAGTACAAGTAGCTTCAATAGGGTTGTCTGCTTATGTAATCAAAAAGTCCTCTGGAATGTCTATCAAAGTCTCACTGTCGTTTGGTTCATAAACTTACCATCACCAATGTCCAATAACCAGTCTTAAAAATCTTGGATATCTTTGGTTTTGTTTTGACTTATGTTACTCTGCAGTAGACGCATATTCTTAGTCAACTTCAAAACCTTACAGTGATCCCAAAGATAAGACAAAATGAGAGCTGTTAGCACTATCTCTGCTCGCCCTGCACCATTTATCACTGGTAAAATTTGTCTGAAATCACCTCCGGACAAAACTACTTTACCAGCAAAGACCCGATTGTCTACGTTTCCCATTATATCAGAAAAACTCCTATCTGAAGACTCGAAACAATACTTGCTCATCATTGGTGCTTTGTCCCAGATAATGAGAGATGCTTCTTTAATAAGATTTGCAAGATCAGCGTTAGGCTTTATATATCTTACAAAGAGAATAATCGTCTACTACCAGAGGTATAGCAAATCTTGAATGTACCGTCCTACCTCCTTCTAACAACAAAGAAGCAATTCCACTGGAGGCAACGTTAAGTACTATCTTCCCCCAACATCTAATAGCAGCGGATAGAGTTTTCCATATGAAGGTTTTACCTGTTCCTCCAAAACCAAAAACAAAAAACACTCCCCCCTTGTCCTCTCAAACAGACTCAATTATCTCATTGTAGATTGCTCTTTGCTCAGACGTAAGCATTTGAATCCACTCATAATGCTTTCCTTTAAACTCATCTTGATC